CCCCAAAACCCCAAAACCCCAAAACCCCAAAACCCCAAAACCCCTTTTTATTAAAAATAATTGTATATCGATTTAATGGAGAAGCTCGAGCAAGAAGAACAAGCGGACAAGATTGAAATCGAAGATATTAACATTTGTAGGAAGTCTATGAACAATTTTATGGTAAATTAATTCCATAATTCTACTAGGATCTCCAAAATTCAGGAATGGGAATGCTCAAAAGAAGCGTATCTGTCGATAGTAAGCCAGCCTTAAGCGCTGAGATTTTTCTATTAATATTTTATCTTATCTTTCATAAGAGGATTAAATTTCAAGAGTTTACCTATTAAATTCTTAAAATATTCTCTTGAATCCAACTAAATCACTTAAAATTAGTTAACCTTTATCATTCCTATAGGATTCGAAAGACACGAAGAGTCTAAAGAAAGATTAGAGTAAGTTCAGGATATTGAAATGTATTTTCCAACTACCTCTTAACAAGATTCTCTGAAATTGTCAAAAGATGATCTAACCCATTCTAGGTACAAAGGAATTGACGATACTATCAGTGTTGCCGACACAATAGGGAAACACAATAACCTTGATGAATGTATAGTATGTAACTCAGAGGAGAGGTTTGTCCATAACTCTCTCTGTAAACACTGCGGTAATGCAATCTGTAACGAATGCTGGGAAGAAATCCTTGGCAAAAGCCAAGAATGCCCAATGTGCAGAAGCCCTGTTACTAAAGAAGACATTGTGGAGAATAGGCTTTATAAACAAAGAATCGAGGAGAAGAAAGCTAGGAATCAGTACTGTGAGAACCATCCTAAACAGATCTGTGGACTGTATTGCTTTGACTGTGAGAAACCTATCTGTAACAAGTGTATTCCGAGAAAGAGGCATAAGGAGCACAGAGTTTTCACTTATAACAAAAAGACTATCTCTAAGTACAACAAGAGAATGAAATTCGAACCTCAGTTAAGACAATTGAGCACTGAATTAAGTTCTTTCTATGATGCAATTACTGAAAAAGATGACTTTAATTTTGAATCTTTGAGAAAACTCCAGAACAGGTTCTCTAAGAAGATCAGGTCCAAGCTTGATGGCAAGATCGAATTCTATGAAAACGCATACCTGGAGTACTCTGAAAATCTCCAAAGTATGAATATTGACAGACACGAGTTATCAAAGACTCTTCGAAGGATGAATAGGCTCAAGAACCCTTATGAAAATGAAGATATTGAGACTTCAGAACAAGTTTATGAAGAATGCAAGAGCATTCTTACCCAAGCTCTTAAGGTTTGTCTTTATCTAACCCTTTAGAACAAACTTATCAAGACCTATAAGCAATACCTAGACCACAATGGTAAGAATAGCTGCTTAACCCTGCTATAGACAAAAATCTAGGCCAATCAGTTGAAGAAAGCTTGCATGATATATTCATCAAGCACTATAACATTCCAAGTATGGTCCTCAGTGCGAAGTACGACACTATCATGAAGTTCATAAACTCCAAGCTTAACAAGGAAGCTAATAAGAAGATAAGGAAGTTCATGCCCTCTATTTATTCAGAAGAGTCAGAAGAAGACGAAGAAGAAGACCAAGAGGAAGACCATAATGAAAACGAAGATACGCAGGAAGAAGAACATGAAGAAAATGAAGAAGATGAGCAAGATGATGAGTTCTTTGAGTAATTTTAATTTTTACACTTTCTTTAAAGATTTTGAAGGGGTTTTCGAGCTAATTTCTAGATGTTCAGCAGATATGTCGAATGTTGAAGCAGAGAAGAATAATAAGGTCTAAAACATTCATTGGTTTCAGTATCACGCTTTCTTAAGGGTTTTGTGAAATTTAAATTCATAAAGTTTTGTGGAGTACAATGGAAAACTACTCTTGTATCTTGGCTTAACATTGAATAACAAATATTCTCTTTATTGCTGAATTCTCTTTAGTATTTTCTAGTAGTCAGACTTCTAGACCCTTAAGGCTTTGATAATACTAAAAATAAGTCAATTTAAATTTTGTATGGTTTCAACAACTTGCTCTCCTCAATTTGGTTAATAAAGGTAGACTCAGAGTTTTAGTTCTGACAGAAAAGTAAGCAAGAAATCTCTATTTCCTCTCATTTTAATGTGTACTTTATTCTTTGAGATAAAAATTCATCTTATATCAACAGAAGCCTTATAAATTATTCAGACTGATGCATCTCTCTTGTTTTGGAGAATTCTATTATTTTTAGTAAGTATACAAGTATATCAACCAATTTTGATACCATAAGTGTTTTGATATATTTCAGACCCTAAAAACTCCCTCTATAAGTTAATTTCTCCTAAATCAACTCACTAACCCCCTCCTTAACCCCCGATAATCCACCGAACCCATCCCCTCTAAACTCTCCCAACACCCCACCTCTCTCCACCTCTCTCCACCTTCCCCACCCCCTACTTCCCTTATTAATTCAACCATTTTCCTCCAACCCGGGGTTTTGGGGTTTTGGGGTTTTGGGG